TTACCTTCAGTTTGTGACATAAAGTCGCGATTTCCGAGTCCCCTAGAGACTCGGTGGTGTCATCCTGACAGGGCGCCGAAGAGGTGCCGACCCTACGGTCACAGTGGTGTCAGAAGTGGGATTTTTAAGGCCCCCAGGATCCCGGAAGTACGAAAACAAAAGGCCGACACAAAAACAAAACATTGGAAAAAAAATTAGACTCCGAGAGAAAAGCAAACTCCGATCAAAGGACACAGTGGTGTCAGAGCGGGATTGAATTTAGAAACGACCCTAGATAACTTGAAAAAAAAAAAAGAAAGATGGAGACAAGAGGTGAAGGTCGGGCGCGAGGAGAGACAGCAGGAGGTGCAAGAGCAGAGCCCGCAGGAGGAGCCGCGTTAGGCGGATTAGGAGGCATGATTCCATTGTTACCTTCCTTTGCGGGGGACACAGAGGGCCTTAAGGTCACCGATTTTTTTGAGTCTTTAGACGAAATCGCAAAATTAACGAATTGGAGTAAAGCACAATGTTTAGGAATCGCAAAATTAAAATTAACGGGGATAGCCCGCGAATTTGCATGGAAGGATGCAAAGATGCAGGAGGTGGTGACGTATGAGGAGTTCAAGAAACTCATGATTAAGCGATTTGACAGAGAACCAATTTCTTTACGTTTACAAAAGTTCCATGCTTGTGTCCAAGGGCGAGACGAAGATGTACAAACCTATGCCGTGCGATTACAAACCCTGGTAAGGGATACGATGGTAGAACAAATAGAACAAACTAGCAGGGATGCGCAGGAAAGGGAAGTTATAAAAAGATGTCAACAAAAAGAGAGGGACGAAAGATTGCTGGTGCAATTCCTCAGCGGCCTAAATGAGCGTATAAAAAGACAAGTGATGTCGCGAGATCCGGAAACATTCGATAAGGCGGTGCAGGCAGCCATCAGAGAAGGAACTATTGAACAATTAATGGCGAAATCACGAGCGATAGTCAGGAACATAAACAATCCTACCGAACCGAAAAAGGATCCTAGTGGAGCACATCATAAGCAATTAGAGGAAACTTTAGCAGAAATTCAAGAGCTATTGAGGCGGTTAGGCACACAAGGACGAAGTCGAGGAGATCTTAGGCGCAGACCACCGCCATGTTGGCATTCTCGAGAATATCCAGAACCACGAAGACAAAGCTATATCGACAGAACTATAGATCAAACAATCAGGCAAATACGAGAGCAATTACATGAGTTACGACGGCAGGAAAGTCAACCCGAATTCCCCATGCATAGAGGCAACAATGCTAACAACAGATATAGTGACCCATTTGACGACTCAAGAAACATCATAGGCGGCGTGCGAAATCAACCATACAATTCTCGTCACAGACCAAGACGATATGAGGCAAGAGACAATTTAGGCGACTCAAGAATTAACTGGCGAACCAGGACGACTCCATCACAATCCCAGATACGGCAATATGAGAAAAGAGTCAACAGAACCCGGCGAAATTTTAGAGGCAATTTTAAGCAAGAGAGAAAAAATGCACCCAGGATTAGAATATCTAGATTCAGGGATGTAGCAACTCATCGTAATTTCAGAGCGCATGACGCGGAGCCTACGTTACATTGTTTGATTGATGACATAGCAACCCGATTAGGCATAGATACAGGATCCAAAGTGACGCTGTTGTCAAGATCACTGGCGCACCGATTAGGCGCCTTCAAAAGGAAAAATAGCAGGAGCGAGATATCTTTCCGAAGCGTCACCGGACACCGAATCAACACGTATGGGGAAACCAATTTCCTATTTCAAATAGGACCCTTGCAATTTTCTTACCCATGTTGCATTGTAGACGATGAAATTACGCAACCATTTGACGGACTAATAGGAAGAGACATAATAAAAGACCAGGGGTTAGAAATAAACTTATCGACAGAAACAATAAAACTCTCCGATGGAAGAGTGGTCCGCTTCCAAGAACATGCCAGACAAAAAGGGACAACGAGACGAATCCAACCGAAAAAGACCCGAACCAATAAAGAAATCATCGTCAGAGTAGTCCGCATAGGAAAAAACCTTATGGAGCAAAATAACCAAAAACCGACAGGGGAGAAAAACTTAATAGATCGCCCTCGGGAACGAAGCGTAGAAAAACTACCAAATCCGAAAATTCAAAGGTACACAGAGAGAAACATAAAAAAATTGATCAGTCCGAAGGACAATGAACGAAAATCTATCTCCCATAACGTAAAAGGACGAAAAATAATAGATGAAAGAGAACCGAAATTAAAGCGTGCACTGATTCATGCGGAGGCACAAAACCAAAGTCCACCGAAAGTAAGTAGCCAGCGAGAACAACAATCGGAATCCGATCAGCGAACAGTTCGATTGACAGTTCTACAAACATTCATTAATGTTATAGTCATTTTCTTCGCCATGATATTCACAATTTTATGCATCCCAATTTTTCCGATATTCGCATGCTCCCAAACGTCAACGACATCGCCGAATCCGAGAACTTCAGACACAACCTCTACTACAAAACCATATCCGCCGCGAAGTCGCATACCAGTAAGAATATCCCCTTCCACATATACAAATAAGGTACGGGTAAAAATTAGACAGACAAAAATTTACCGCGACAATTAGCAGAATTAGTTAGAGATCACAACAACTAGCAAGGGAAAAAAAAAGGGGAACCGATCGAAACGGGAAGAATCGAAATAGGAAATACAACGCGTGGCTTAGAACTTCCGCGGGAGAAAAACAAAATAATAATAATAAGAGAGAGAGAGAGTAAAGAACCATTTAGCTGTAAACATTACGAGTCTTCGAATCTTGTACGCGATTGTAAGTTATCCTTGGTTATTCCTAGTTATCTTAGGATACCCATTTTGTATTATCTCCGAGAAAGAGAGCAGATCGTGAAATTTAAACGTTGTATGAAAAAAAGAACTGTAGGGAAAAGTAATGAGAAGCAATTGTACCGCGTTATAGAAAAAATATATTGTCGGAAATAATTAATTCGAATGATAACCATATCATAAAAATAATCATATCAATGTCGGAAATAATTCATGTTAGTATTATGCACTCAGAGAGAGAGAGAGACTTTTAAATATTATTGTGTTCACAAAACGGGTCCTTAACATTTTCTTAGGCCGGATTTCATCAAGAACCTTGAGACATCAAGAACCTTGAGGAAATACCCTACATCCTCTACCTTCCATTGAAACTTCAACTCATTAAAATCGATCTTGCTCACTCAGAACAAGCCCGATTTTGGAAAGGCCAGGGTGATGTGAGGGACGAACAGACCCACAATAAAGTGTTATT